CTCGACAAGAAAGGATATGTTTCCAAAGGACAACAAAGCATCCCAAGGGTAATAAAAGGGTTGAAGGAACAAGGCTCGAAGAAACAAGGCTTGCATACCCTTGAGGTTGAGGTTATAAGTGGTTTTGTAGATGTGGCATCCACGAAACCTGTGTCGAAGACTGAGCTATGTCACAAGATACTTGACCATGTCAGTGAAAAATCTTGTTCGAATTATCAAAATAAAATCTATTGGGTGTTGACAAGGTCAAAAAACTGAAGTTTTGTGAACCTTGTGTATTTGGTAAATCATGTAGAATGAAGTTTAACAAAGGTAAACAAATAACACACGGATCCCTTGATTACATGACCTGCAAGAAATCCTTCACACTGAGGTGCAAAGTATTTTCTATCTATAGTTGATGATTACTCCAGAAAGTTATGGGTATTCATTCAGAAGACTAAGAATGAAACTTCTGGAAATTTCAAAATTTGGAAGACTTTGGTTGAAAACTAAACTGCAAGAAAGTCAAGAGGTTGAAGACCGACAATGGTCTTGATTTTCCAATGAGGCTTTCGACAACTATTGTGACGCGTGTGGTATTTTAAGGCACAAAACTACTACAGGAACCCCCAACAAAATGGTTTGGCTGAAAGGTTTAATCGAACCATCTTGGAAAGGGTTAGATGAATGTTAGTTAGTGCAGGATTGAAGAAGGTGTATTAGGAAAAAGTTATTGTGACTGCAACATACTTGATAAATAGATGTCCTTCAACAGCCTTGGGAATAAAGACGCGTTTATGTCACACATAGGTTTCACTAGGAGCCAGTTCGATCACTGTGTTTACTTCAGATTTTGACCTGGAAATTTACTTGTTATTCTGTTGCTTTATATGGATGACATCCTCATAGAAATCAACAATATCGAAGATGTTATGAAGGTGAAGGTTGAACTCGTTAAGGAGTTCGACATGAAGGATTTGGGAGCTTCCTCCAAAATTCTTGGGATTGACATCCAAAGAGATATAAATCAGTTGAGTTTATGCTCATCTCAAGAGACATACCTGAAGAAGATTCTCGACAAGTTTAGTATGTCGAATTCAAAGTCTATTCTAACACCGACTAATCCTCAGTACAAGCTGAGTATGACTCAAATTCCTAGTACTAAAGTCGAAAGAGCATAGCATCACATATGCTAGTATAATAGATTCTTTGATGTATTCTATGGTCTTTACGAGGCCAGACAAAACATACAGAGTGAGTCTTGTAAGCAGATATATGACCAATCCTAAAAAGGTGCATTGACAAGCATTAAAGTGGATTCTTAGGTACCTCAATGGGTCTCTGAGCAGAGTCCTGATTTATGGTAGAGCCTATGGTGATGATAGAAAAGTCGAAATCAAAGGATTTATTGACTCTGATTATGCAGGTTGTATGGATTTCAGAAAATCTATTTCTAGATATGTGTTCACCATGTTCGGTATAACAATCAGTTGGAAAGCGACACCTCAAAAGGTTATTGCCTTATCAACCATTCAAGCGAAATATATTTCCTTTACTGAAGTTATGAAAGAAGCATCGTGGCTCGGAGGTTTTGCTAAGGAGCAGAAACTTCAAGGTCGAGTTATCACTGTTAAATGCGATAATCAAAGTGTAATGCACTTGTTGAAGAATTCAGCCTATAATGAGCGAAGCAAACACATCGATGTGAGGCTACACTTTATCAAAGATATAATCGAGCATGGAGAAGTTAAAATGCTAAAGGTTTTGATTGATGACAATGTTGTTGATATGATCACCAAGACATTGCCAAGTAGCAAGTTTTTCCATTGTATGCAGTTGATAAAACTGCATTATGAAAGCTAGTTTGTTCCTTTGTTTGTGTAGAGTTTGTTTCAAGGTGGAGATTTCTTGTATTTGGATTGAACTCTAGTGTCGACAAGGGTAGCTTCTTAGTTCGACATGAGTTGTGTATGCTATAGTCGAAGTCTGTTCTAGCATGCTATCGAAATATGTTAGCTTCGAGTTTAAGTTAGCATGTCGAATTGGGACTTGCTTGTAAGCCCAATTGTTTAAGTTTGCTTATTACTCAAGTTAGCTTAGTAACCTATAAATAGACTAGTTCTTTCAGGTCGTTGAGAGAGGTTAATTGTTGGTATTCACTTGTAATCTTTGAACCCTTATTAAAAAAATGAATAGTAAAACAAATTTAACCAATTTTGATTCTTCTTCTTCCTTCTTTTCTCCCTCTTGTAAAACCTAATAGAATCTCTTATGTTTGTTTAAGAAAATCAATCTTTTTCTCATATTTTAGTTTGTTTTTGTTACCAATACATCATGTTGCTTACAAACAACGACCAAGCATTCTCAATATTTTATAGTTGATTCATGTCATATATATTTGACAAAAATTTATATTGACTATCGACTAACTAATATAACCCTCTTCGTTTATCCGAGCTGAGACCAACTATATATACGAAAGCTTACATATGGATGATGTTGGGGCTATCAAATCTGGGAGTCAATATGACATAACATTTTTATTTTTGAGGTCTTTTCTTTATGAGCAACACACATTGTGAGAGACACACCACATACTCACCCAAAACTTTAAGGGGATGCTTGTTTCATGGATACAAATGCAATTTTCGAGAATGAGAAATTGAAATTCACATATTCAATTATTTGTTTTAAGTTTTAATAACTTATGCCCGAGTACATTTTATTCCCAAGAATGTTTTCATGAATTTCTTCAATTTTATTCTTATGTCAAAGTATGAGAATCTTACATTCCTATCGAAATATAAAATAACCAACCATAACTTCTCACTTTCATGTTATTTTTATCACTTTTTTTAAATTTTAAATTTTTAAAATTTAATTAAAATAAAACTTAAAAATATTTCTAAAAACTTTATTCATTTGTCAGATTGAATTTTCTTACGATAATATATTTCTAGAAATGATATTTCCAAAATTATAATTTTAATCTATAAAATATACACACTTTAAAATTATAGTAATGTAGATTCTCCCAATATTCAAATATTTACATTTCTAATTCATACACTTTTATGCAATACTCAAACTTGTTATTCCCAACCCATGATTTATATTTAAGCACACAAAATCTATAAAATTTGTTCTAAATTTACTATTTTAAATATCTTCTCTATTTCAAAATTTAGCTCGCCCTTAAGAATACTTTTTAAAGATTACTAAACCTTATCACTAATAAGTCGACACATATCTAATATAAAATTGAGTAAAAATAGGAGTAAGATAATATTTAAAAGTTGTTTATCAATACAAATAATTTTTTAATTTATTCAAAATAACCTTAAAACTATATGCATATGGAAAGAGATAATGAGTAAAAAAAAAGGTTAAATTATATTTAAAGTTTGGTTATTAAAAAAATTACTTTATAAAAAAAATTAAATGTAAAAAAACCTTAGAACATTATTTTTAAAAATTTGCTTTATAAAAAAAAAAAACAGAATAATATGCATATGGAAAGATAGAGTAAATATTTTGGTAATGATAATATCTAAACAGAAAGATTTGGATATGCTCGAAAACTACGGGATTAAAATATAATAATAATAAAAATTTTTACCTAAACTCAGTTGAATTTCAGCACTGAGTCAAGGGCCCCACGTAACTCGCTTCTTCAGAACCGCTTTTTCGACCCTATCTACATCGCACCACATTCACTACCTACTTTCTTATAATAAAAAAATAATAATTTTAATAATAAAAAATTAACTTTAATAAAAAATTAATTTAAATAAATAATTAATTTTAATAAAAAATTAATAAAATCAAATCACACCAATTAAAAAAATTGATTTGATAAGACATATCTAGAAAAAAGATTAAAGTAACCCCTTTTCTTAATTAATAAAAGTATTTTAATCTTTTAATAATCTTTTATTTAATAATATTCTTTAGCATACTTTTATTTATATGGCAACAAAATTAGTTGAATATAAAATTAAAATATAAAATATAAAAATATAATATAATATCCAATTGTAATTAATAAATATAAAGTTAGTCAAATTAAAAAGAATAAAAAAACAAAATATTTTAATTATAACCTAGAAAAAAAGAAAAGAAAACGATCACAAAGAGACACAACATTACACATCTCTTTCTTCACATCATTTCTTCTCTTCTTCTAAAACCAAATTGTGTTTTGATCAAAGTCAAAACCCATCATCACAAATCTCTCTCTCTCTCTCTCTCTCAAGTACTTCTTGTTGGAAGAGATTGAAAAGAACCAAGTTTTGATCAAACATACGGTATTGTTTTTTTTCTTACCTCAATAGTGCAACATTACGTAAAAAAAACTATTACAATCTACCATGGTAGATTGTGATAACAACATAGTATGATTAAGGTTTTGTTTTTGTTTACGTTTATGTTTTGTGTTCATGTGACACTGAATCGGCTGTTTCTTGATAATTTTCGGGTGCTTTCTTTATTCCTTAAATATCTCGGTTTTTTTTAAATTTGTTTTTTTTTTTATTTTAATTTTTTTATAAAAAAAAAAACAGGAAAAAAAGGGTCTTGGAGGTTTTTGGTGTTTTACAACACCAGAAAATGTGAAACAACGAGATTTTACAATCATAACATAACACACAACGTAATTTGTTATCGAATAGATACTTATTACGCGTGTGTTGTTTTTGTTGTTTTTTGTTACCGATTCTCTTCCCAATCCAAACCATATCATCCTTTCAATTTTGTTGCCGAATATTGATCCAATCAAGAATTTACCAAAATGGGGCACCAGAAAATGAAATGAAGAATTTGACGATTCTTTTTGATTTGAAAAAAGATTCATCTTTTTTATTGTTTTGTTCAGGGCTCAATCAAGATCAAGAACTGGTAGATGAAATGAAAAAAATTGGATTTTGATTGTTGGGGGATTGTTTTTGCTGTCTATTTCGATCTTGGTGTTGAAGGGTAGATTTGGGGTTTTAGTTTTTGTTGTTTTGGGATTGTTGAAGATGAAGTCTGGGTCACTTGATCAGTGGAGGAGTTACTTTAGATCATCCAGTTCGGATATTTTCGACATAATTGACCATGCGATTGTTGTTGCTGCTGCTGATTGTCCGAAGGAGTTTAAGTTGAGGAGAGATGGAATTGCTGAGAGGTTGTTTTCTGTTATGCTGAATCGCTGTAAGGACTGCGAGAAAGTTGAAACGCCGGTTACTGATAATGAGAATGATGAACTTTGCAAGAGAGGTTTTGTTAGAGATGGTGGGAGTAAGGAGAGTAAGGTGAATTGCGGGGAAGGTAATGGAGTGGTGGAAGTGAACCCTATTAGCAATTACACCTTTGTAGATGCGGAGGCTCTCACGGATATGCTCGAAGCGGAGTCTGAGCTTCTTGCAGAGGTTATGAGAATCAAAGAGGTTCTCAATAGCTATGAAGATGAGGTATAATCTTTTTTCGATAGTGTTTCTTGTTTGAAGGTTGAATTGATTCATGTGTTGTGTGGTTGCTGATTAGTGATGCTTGTTTCGTGTTGTTACAGTCTGACTCGGCGCTGTTTGAGTCTCTGAGGAGGCTTCAGCTGATGCATATCTCTGTGGATCTTCTTAAGGTTTGAATTGAATCTTTAGTTGTCCCAAATTGGTTTTGTTTTTTTTAAGAATGTTATCTAATAATCAGAAATTATCTTTTTCAGTCAACTGAGATTGGAAAGGCTGTCAATCCTCTTCGAAAGTATGGATCAAAGGATGTCCGTCAACTCGCACGGGTCCTCATCGAGTATGATTTAGTTTTTCATCTATAATTATGGTTTATTTTATACGATTGCTGCTGTTATGTTGATCCATATGAAAGAGTGATGCATTTGATTCCGAAATCATGGTCATTAGTTATAAGACTTGGTTAATTTTAATCAATTTCTTAGTTAGTCATGTTTCGATTAGGTTAACATTGATGATAATCTTTAGATAGGCGAATGATTTGGCGATTATTCTTTTTGATTGTTATCATTGTACCGAACAACTCGAATTCTAAACTTGTTTTATGTTTTTAACATTTTAGTGGGTGGAAAGAAATGGTCGATAATTGGGTCAACGGGAATGCAGCGAAACCTGCCGCAGGTAGAGATTTTATTATCTAACTTAGTATGGTAATGATCGGTATATATACTCATGCAGTTTTTTCATTTGATTTCAAAACTAATTCATGTCGGAAAATTTTTCATTTGATTTCAAAACTAATTCATGTCGGAAAATTGCTATTGAATGTTTGTTCTATCAGAAGGAGGCACACCGGATTCGATAAATCCGTCTGTTGTTGAGAATGCAGAAGATGAGGAGGAAGGAGGACTTCCATCACCTCCTTTAGACGACGGGGCTTTCTTTGTTTCTCAACCCGGTTCAATGGAGCTCTCACAGGTATTGTCCTTTTTCCGTTACTCGAACTTATTTTGCGCATGCTTGTATAGATTTGAAACTGAGTTCGTGTCTTCTTTGTGTTGTATGTCGTATTTGGATCATGTAAAGTTCTTCGAAGGCATGGATGATGACGGAAGTGAGTTCAATTTTCAATTTCCGAATGGTTCTTAATCTGAACTCCTCTCGTCTTATATTAATGATTGTAAATGTGGAATGTTTTTTCAGATCTTCGTAAGAGTGCACCTCCTAACAAGAACCGTGACAATGGAGGAAAGCCGACATCCGACACTCTAGTTAAGGACAAGAGGAATTTCCCGGTTTTCAATGCAACTGCTATCCCTGCCAATGACAACAAGAGTCAGCAAATGAAGAAGACTGAGGCTGCGGTCAGGCTAAACAAACCGGTAGCTGCTGATGCTGGCCGCGGAAGACCAATGAACCCGAACATTCAGCGAAAACCCAATGTAGAGCCGAGGCTGCAGCAGAAAGCCGGGAACAGTACTGTGCCAAAGAGGCCTCTCAATGCTCAGCAAGATGTAAGCAAAAAAACAAACTTTACAGCCATTAAAATTTTAAAGATTTTTTTCGTTCTCTGACATTAATTTTGTGTTTCAAAAGCCGAAATGCTCAAGTGATGCTGAAAAGCTCGAAGCTACTAAGCGGAAACTTCAAGAGCGCTATCAACAAGCTGAAAACGGTGAGTCATTGATGAAATATTCAGACACGATGTTTTCGTGTAACACATTATTCGGTTTATCATAACTAATCGACGAAATTGCTTGTTAATCGCAGCCAAGAGGCAAAGGACAATACAAGTTATGGAAATCAACGAACTTCCAAAGCAAGGAGCTGTCCAACGAAACACTAATTTCAAACCGGGAAATCACAACCGGCAATGGGCTAACGGTCGTAGATAGAGCGCGAGCGCGGCTAGTTTCGGAGAGGAAAAAGAATAGTGATAACATGTTTTTACCAAACATTTACATGATAGAAGATTGATCCATCCCCCTCCTCCTCCTCTTCCTCCTTGAGCATAGAAAATAACAATTATACATTCTTGGATAGAGTTATTTTGATTTTAGAGAGGGAAGTAAACTTTGAAAACATGGATTATTTCCCAAGTTTTAAACTTATCATGAGTACATAGGAATTTTGTTGGTCCAAGATTTTGGATTTGGATTTTTCATCCTTATCTTGGCATTCCTTGGCTTACTTGGCTTGTTCTATACATTATTGTCAATAGAAATGTTTCTTGACATTTTTCTTTTGTCACATATATTATGTTACATTAGGGTCTTATATAACATATAGTATACATGCAATGCAATTGTGCATGTTACTATAATACCCTCAATGACCTTATGTAAATATGTAATAAGCAGGTACCATAGGAATCAATGAATGAATGAATGAATGCTTTTGTAGTCTTTTGACTACAAATGTTTCCAAATTTTCAGTGCCATGGAGTTCAACATAGATGGTTGGTTCTGTCTAGAGATTAAACAATGGTTAAGGTATGTATATGTTTCTTGTAGATTAAACAAGATTTAGATTTTTTTTTTAAAAAAGAAAAATGAAAAATATTTTTTTTAGAATTATTTTTTCAATCTTAGTTTTATCATTATCAATATATACTACTTTAAAGTTTGAACATATATTTTAAGAGTATTTTTTACTCTAGTTTTATGACTAGTTTACATTTATGACTTTCAATCTTTATTGCTTTTAAGTTTGTCCAAGTCTATTCTAAAAGTTGGTCCAAGTCAAATCAATTTTCTTTTCTACTCTAAGTTTCATTTTACATTATTTTAAAAATACTTTTCATAAGTATCAAATCAACAAATAAACTTTTACTTTTAATATTATTTTTTAATTAAATAAAATTTTTAAATAAATGTTTTTTTATATTTTTTATAATTATCAAATCAAGAAATAAATTTTCTTACTTTTAAAATTATTTTTTAAATAAATATTTAATGATTTTATTAACAAATATATAATTAATATTGAATTGAATTATAAAAAAGGTAAATAAATATTTTTTTAATGGGATAAATAAAAAGAATGATGAGAATATATTTTTTATTCCTTTTATGTGATTTTGTTTGATAAAAAATAGCATAAGCATGTGAATAATAAGAGTGAAGAATGAGTGGCCTTTGATTGATGGTATAGGACAATTTGACATAGTTGAATATCCCACACTATGTTTAAAAAACAAAAAACAAAAATAGAGGTTAGATTGTATGAATATGAGTATAATTATGACTATGACTGAGAAAGAAAGAAGAACGTGCTAAAGAAAAATGGGGCATACTTTTTTCATTTTTTTTATAAATATTTGTCGGCTTGACTTTCTTTGTTTTTAATTTTTATTTTCTTCTTATTTGGCTAACAACCATTTAATTGTACTATTTATGTGATTTCCACGTGTCACAAAATTACTCAACTCAATTGTACTTTGCTATAGTGCTGTCTATTTTGACCACATCTCTTTCCTATTACTTTCCTTCGTTTTTAGGGACACGGTGAAAATTATTTTATATTGTAAATTTTCAAAAATATTTTTATTTTTAATATTAAAGATCAAACTTTGCACATTCTATTATAATTTTGATTGATTTTGTTAATTGAATAGAGAATAGATTGAGGTTGGAATTTCCTTGTTGAAAGGTTGGGTAGTTTTCTTTGAGTTGATTCGATGAAAAAGTTTCATCTTGACGTTTAGTTTTAGTTAATTATTTATTCATTTTCTTTGGGCATTGTAAAATAAAACAAACAAACATTTTATTTATTATTGTTTTTCTTAAATCCTAAAATTATTTTACAAAAGTAACAGTTCCATTAGATTGAATTACTTTTAGGAGTTTTTATCCTTATCTTCATTTTTTTCGATATCCGCAAATTCTTGTAGATCCTACTGATATTTATTACGAGTACTACACATTTTATTCTTTAAAAAATATATTTTATAAAAATCACTAATTTTTCTGTTATATATATATATATATATATATATATATATATATATATATATATATATATATATATATATATATATATATATATATATATATATATATATATATATATATATATATATATATATATATATATATATATATATATATATATATATATATATATATATATATATATATATAATTGCTAAAATGAAACAACAAAATATATTTTGAAGAGCAACTTCTCTTAATAACAAATTAAAAATGAAAAATAATAAAATATTAATAACAAAATAAAATTCAATTAATAAAAAATTAAATAAAAAAAAATAATATGAATAATTTTTTTCTTGCTAAATTAGAAGAGAGAAAAGATGAGAAAATTAAGATTGGAAGAGTAAGGATGAAAACGAGAAAAATTAAAAATGAGTTGAAGAGTGAGAAAATGTGTTAAAAAATGAAATGTGAAAATTTTGTGTATGGGGAACAAAATTGGTAGATATATAATCTTGTATGCGTCGTGGAAATCACATCGCAACTCAACGATGTGTAAATAACGTGATAATAAAAATATAACCGTTGCCTTGCGACGTGATTTTCACTCGGTATCGTTGACCTGTCACAACGGTCATATATTCCTGACCAAACCATCAACTCATTTAGAAAAGATACTCACATGAATTTGAATTTTCTGAAAAGTATGTTGGTGACGTGATTTTCATGTCATAACTTAATTTTTTTAAAATTCGAATTCTCCCATGTAAAATTTGTGACGTATTTTTTATATATTTGGAAATATATGTTGCGACGTGTTTAACACAACACAATTTTAAAATATTTTTTAATACATTCTATCATCCGAAATCTTATTAAATTATTAAAAAAGTGTTTGTCATGTGAAACTCACGTCACAAATGTCTTATTTTATCACGTTGATTCCACGTTGCAACATTATGACATTGGGAAACGTTTTTCTTGTAGTGGTTTGTAAAAATAATTAAAAAATTTCATTAGTCATTTCTCAACATTCACTTAAACCCTCATCTTTAAAAACAAGTTTATTATTAAAATGGTTAAGTTTTTAATAAAACTATTAATTTTTAAAAGAAATAATTTTTTTGCGAGTGGGGCAGGTGCGTGTGCGGGCAAACCCGTTTCCATCGAGGATGGGTTTGGGTGATAAATTTTCACGTCGACTGGGTTTGAGGGCGGGGACAGGTATGTAACAGGGAGGCGGGTGCGGATGCGGGGCTAGCTAAATCCGCCCCCGTCCCACCCCACCCCGTTGTCATGCCTAGTAACACGCTACTTATAACAATGGGTACAAAAACTACTGTTGTGAAATAATTTATAGGTCTTGGGTTCGAATCTCAGCAACGACATTATAACCTGAATATTTATAAATCGTATCAGACCAGAAACATCAATACAGTCATTTGTGAATTGAATTAAACCAAAAATAGTATTATCTCAATGACACAATTCCATTAGGAACTAAAAATTGTATATTACATCAAAACTAAAATGACAAAAAATAACCTACAATGTACACACATCATTATATTAAATAATACTATCTTGTAAACGTTTTGACTTTAAACACGTGTAATTTTAAATAATAATATTTATTAGAAAATCACATCATTGGGAGTTATAACACACAACAAATTATGAATAAAGAATATAAAATACTTATTGATTTTTTCATATACCTTTTGATGATCGTTACAAATAACATGTACACTATCTCTATAAATTTTTTCATATAAAATAAACACTTGTCTTACATAAGAAGAAGGAGAAGAAATATCAAAACTTTTATCATCATTATAAAAGTGTGTTTTTCTTTGAAAACAATCAATTATCTCTTCGATAAATTTATATGATCAATCACATGATAAATTTATATGATAAATTTGTTTTACATCAATAAATATGATGAATGATGTATTATAAATTCTCTTACCGAAATTGTATATTACATTGACTACGTGCTTTTGTATTTCTTTGTATATAAAGTTTTATTATTTATTTGTTTATTTAATACACTTTAATGCCATTAAGTTTTTGCTACATTGTGTTGATTAATGAAAAAGAGAATTCCATAAGTTCTGTTTATCAGAAATAATTTTATTCGAGACATTGTGGGGCTTTAAATGTGGACAACTCTTAGTCGAATTTAAAATCCAATTTAAGAGTCTAATTCATTTTACGAGATTTAGCCTTTGGCCATTGTTGGTAATATTGTGTAAAGGGTGCTGTTAGCCCATGCCTCTTCATTGATCATTATATTCTTTGAAAAAGTGATAATTAATATACTTAGTTATTAATTATCTCAAGTAAATTTAAATGATTCACTTCTCTTTCATAAAATACATATAATGTACTCATATGCTAGCAGAGGAAGCTGAGGACGGCTTTACCGCCGTCGCTTGCGAATTTGCATAATGTGTTTCATGTGTCTTAGTTGAGAAAATACATTTCAGATCCGTCGCATATGATTCAGATGAATGATGTACAAGTGAGAGATGATTTAACTTTTGAGGCGTTCCTGTTCGGGTTAATGAACGAGAAGTGAAACAGTTGCGAGGTAAAAGATTGCCTTGGTGAAAGTAGTTTTGGGAGGACCAGTGGAAAAAAATTGGTCTTGGGAACGTGAAGATCAGATGAAGGAGTCGTATCTGACTCTGTTTTCTTGAGATAATTTTCGAAGACGAAAATTCTTTTAAGTGGGGGAGAGTTGTAACACCCCAAATTTAATTGGAATATTTTAATTAATTTATTTCATTGAGAATATTCATTTTTCGGTGATTTTCGGTGATTTTGTAGATTATTGAGAATTGTGCATTTTTGGGGTTATTTATTTTGAATAATAGTATGTAATATGAATTTATTAATATTATTATGAATTAAAATAAATATAAGATGAATAAGGGCAATTGGGACAATTCAGA